AGTTCTTTCCCTATTCTACATGTGAGCCCTTTGTCATTTATACGTGTTGCACATATATTCTCCCACTCTTTGCCTTCTCTTTTTCCTTCTTTAGTGGTATCTTTTGATGAATGGAAGTTCTTGATTTTAATATAGTCCAGTTTGTCAGTCATTTCTGTGTGGCTAGTTTTTGTGTATATGTTTTGTTTATGAAATCTTTTCCCATCCCAAGGTAGAAGATAGTGTCTTATACTTTTTTCTAGGAGTGTTGTTATTTTACATTTTATATTTAGATCCTCAATATATCTGGAATTAATTTTTTAAAAGCCTTTTATTTTGAAATGCTTTTGAACTTAAAAGTTTTAAAAGATGTATACAAAGAATTCTAGTATATCTTTACTAAGATTCCTTATATGTCAACTTTTCTTCATGGTTAGTCATTTTCCTTCATACATACATGTAAACATACATACATAATTTTTTTCTTTAACTGTTTTAAGTATAAATTGTACAGGTAATGCTTCTTTACTCTTAATATTTCAATATGCATTTCCAAAAAAACAAGGACATTCTCTTTTATAACCATAGTACAATCATAAAATCTAGAAATGAACACTAATAAAATGCTAATATCTAATCTGTAGACTTTAAATTTTGCCAATTGTGCTAATGTCTATTCAGCAAAAAATATAATTTTTTTCTGGTTCAGGATTCAATCCAGGATCATGAATTGCATTTGGTTGTTACGCTCATTATCATCCTTAAATTTGGAATAATTCCTCAGTCTTTGTCTTTTATGACTTTGACATTACCAAAGAGTATAGGCTAGTTTATTTGGTAGACTGTCCTCCAAATTTGGGGTTGTCAGTGTTTCCTTGTTATTATGTTGGGATTATGCATTTTTGACAGGAGTCCCATAGAAACCATGCATTTCTGGAGGCATGGTGTGTCAGTCTGTTCCCTTCCTGGTGATGTTAATTTGGCGTTTACTAGGTTTTCCACTGAGGTTACTATGTTTCCTTTTGTAATTAATAAGTATCTTGTCAAAATACTCTGAGACTTTATAAATTCCCTCTTTCTCAACTTTCACTCTGATTTAGCCAACTTTTGATTAATTCTTTCCAGAATAAACTATTACTATGTTTTTTGCCAAATGATAATTTTCTGATTCCACCCTGCCTTCTGCATTAATTAGTTGGCATTCTACTATAAGGGTTTTTCCTTTTGTCCCACTTCTTTATGTATTTACCTTAAGTGTGGATTATGGATTTCTTATTCAGTGGTCTATTAATTGTTAACATCATTTATTTTGAATCTCAGATTTCCCCAGTTTGACCAGTGGGAGCTCCTGTAAGCCGAAGCATATTCTTTCACGTGTTCTGATTCTTTGAGCAGTTCCTTAATTTCTGGCATAAATTTTCTACTATACTAGCTCCAGCCCTAGAATCAGCCTTTTCTGTAAGGAGGCCTTGTTCCTTTTAGTGCAGGATGGAACTCATTGCTTTTGAGTGTACTTCTGATTCTAAGCCCTCTGGCAACAGAGATAGGAAATACACTGCATACATACAATCTGTGTCGATTTTTGTATCTGTTTATCTCCATATATATTAAAACCTGGAGTTCACACTTACATTTCCAATTCCAGTTGACATACAGGGTTTATACTTGCCACTTTCCATAATTGTAATCACTTTCTCTGACAGAAACTTGGCTTTCACTAGCTATGATATACTTATTTTCTGAATCCTAGAATATACAGAAAATAGAGAATTGTTGACCATGCCACTGCAGAAAACAGATCTACCAGCTAGATCTTCCACTTTTTTGCTTTTAGCTTAAGAACTTGAGGATTTATGGCCGAAATACTGTGTTCAAAAGATAACTTGGATTGCCCTCCCTTCCCTCCCCATGTAGTTTTGTTACTTGTTTGCAATGCATTTGTTCCTGCTGAATTCCATTTTTGGGTTTCCCCAGCCCTTGTTTATTTAATTTATTTACTGTGAACATGTGAAACACAACCATGGTTCCACACATGAGAACTAGAAGAGCAGGTGTGTTCACAGATGTGACTCTCCCCTCCCCAATTCCTTCTTAACTCTGTTCCCACCCACCCCTTGGAGGTAAACAGTCTAATTTGTTTTTTGTGTATCCTTCCTGTGTGTCTTTTGCCTAGGGAAGCAGATGCATGTGTATTTTTTTATTTCCCCTTTCTTCCACAGAAGTTGACATAATTAGATATACTTTGCACTTTGCCTTTTTTCACTTAATAGATTCTAGAAATCTCTCCATACCATTGTATAGCAGTCTTGTTCTGTTTACTATTTCTGTTTACTAGTTCTGTAAACTATAGTAGTTTATTCAGCTACTTTTCTGTGTACAGGCATTTAAGTTCTTTCTGCTGTTTGGCAATTAAAAGCAATGCTGCAATGAATAATCTCATGCATATGTATTTTTGTTGGAGGTGTGTCCTTAGGTTAAATTCCGAGAAGTGGGATTGTTTGCTGGGCAAAAGGTGACTGCATATGTGGCTTTGTTAGATATTGTCAGATTTTTTTCAGAAAGCTCTATCAGTTTTCATTCTCACCAGCAACTTCGCAGAGTGCCTGTTACCCCACATCCTTCCCAAAAGAATGTGTCATACTTTTTCATTTTTGCCAGTCATTAGCTGAGAAGTGGTAATCGCAGTGGTGTTTAACTTGCATTTTTCCTCTTGTGAGTTAGACTGATCTTTTTATGTGTGTGTTAATTGACTGTGTGTGAATGTTCATTTTGCTCACTTTTCTGTGTGGTTTTTGGTCTTTTCCCCTTGATTTTTTTTTTGGAATAGGAAGTCATGCAGGTCTTTATTCTAATTGACTAACATGACCTAACACAGAATGGACATTTCTTCAACAAAATCATAAAACATACTATTTTCCCCTTGATTTTTAAGAGTTCTTTGTGTAGTAGGGATATTAGTCTTTTATCCATGAGATATTGCAAATATGCTCTCCCAGTGTCTCTTGTTCTTCTTCTTTTTTTTAAAATTATTTATTTTGGCCATGTAAAACTTCAGAAAACTCTTTCAAATATTTTATTTTTTATGTAGTTAAATTTATCAGTTCTTTGTTTTATCATCCAGAATTTTGAATCATAGTTAAAAAGCCTTGGCATTTATTTTTGGTATGGTGTGAGCTAGGGCTCATTCACTCTTTTCTCCCTTTGTGAATACTGGGCAGACCTAACACTGTTTATTAAAAATGTCCATTTTTTCTGTGCTGCTTCTTTGGTCGTAAATCAAGTGTATATATATATGCAGTTTCTTTCTAGATTCTGTTCTGTTCCACTGTTTTATTCATGTGCCAACACTACTGTTGTGGTTATTAGGATAATTGTAGAGCTTTTGATTTGGTGCTCTGATACATGTTTAACTTTTCCATTATTCAAAGACAAATTATAAACAGAGAAGTGCGATGATTAAGCCACTTTTCATATGACTATGACGGGTGGTTTTCAGATGTAATTATGAAAGAAGGAGTGTTTTAACTTACTGAGGAAGAAAAATTACTTCAAAGATAATTTTAACTTTTATTGACACTATAAAATATTTGAAAATGTAACAGTATGTTCAGCTTATTTGCTGATATATAGATGAGGGACAAATTGACAGGAAGGACGTATAACTTGATTTATGATTTTTTTGCATCATAGTTCATGACCAGTTTCAGTAACAAACTAGTCCTTAACAGTCCATAATTATTAATGCAATAACTCCCTTGACTTGTTATATAATCTAGATTTTTGATAGTGTGATAATCCTAAATTACCAAAACTTAATTCTGTTTAGATCATTAAAACATTAATTCTTTTCTGCCTCTTTTTTTGTAAAATAGGTTGAGCTTCCTAATGGTATTATATTATAACCTTCATAATTGAATGGTGAGGACAGAATCTACTCCATATGGAGTCACTGATGTTTAGAACTGGAAGAGACTTTAGAGATTAGTTATTTATGAACTAGTTTAATTTGTAGAAATGAATTCACTATGATTATCGAAGGGTGGGCATGGCTCCAGATAGAAAACTATATAAATCAGCTCATTTGTGTCTTCACCTTAATGGGACAGAACTTTTTGGTTCTTTCATTAAAAACTCTATCTCTTCCTTCTCTCCCATCTTCTATCCCTCCTTCCCTCTTACAGATCTTTACTCTGTGTTCTCTATTATTTCTAGAAGCAGAAACAGATTCCTTCACCATTTTTCCTAAGTAACAATTTTATACCCAATCTAATTATCCAGAGTGCTTGTTTTCTTTTAAAAAAGTTCATATTTTGTCAGTCATCTTTATAAAATATAAATAAATTTTACAAATGGTCTTTCTTAAATAGTATGATCATTTAAGCTGGTGAACCCTCACTCTAACCATAAAATCTGTAGTTTTTAATTTATATATTACAGGCCTTACAAAAATCAGCTTTTAATTTTGGCTGAAATTAGTAGATAAATAAATTATCTACTAATAAAACAAGAAAAATTACAGATTAATTTCTTCTAGATTATGGCTCCATCATTGACTCACTTTAGAGCAATGAAGATTATTTCTGACTCTCAGTAGAAATCACATTTCTACAGATAAATGGCATTTCCTGTGGCATTATATAACTTTTCTGATAGCCCATGGGATATCACTCAAATGATCCCTGTTCATAAGGTGTGTCCTAGATGAAAGAGTAATAAGGGGGGTGTCTTTACTTTTTCCCATCCCTCCCTGAATCTAGCACATGTGGGTACACAGTGGGCTTTCATAAGATTTTTGATTACACATGTGATCTTCATATTATAAAAAGAAGTGTAGAATTGTTTATAAACCAGAAAAGAGGTTCTGTTTCTATAGCATGGTGTGATGCACTCTTTGGTAACAATCAAAGTCTTTGTAGAGCTCTTTGAAGTCAATATAAAAGTTAAGAGCATTGTTTAGTCTGAAAATATAATTTAATCTTGCTTCATCTAGTCAATTTATTTTTATTTTCTATTGCTTCTAGACCAAGAGCAACGATGACCTTTTAGCTGGAATGGCTGGAGGGGTGACAGTGACTAATGGTGTCAAAGGAAAGAAAAGCACCTGCCCTTCCACAGCATCTTCAGCGTCTGCTCCTGCCATGACCACCGTGGAGAGCAAGGCCAAGATCAGCACAGGTACGGATGGCATTCAGCATGAGAATTTAACTGCACTTTTGTTTGAAGAGGCCGAGTGCATTGGTGTTTACGGGGTTCTATCTAATTACAAAATCTCAAACATGTACTAAAAAGTTGGTTATTTCAACCCTGTGTACTCATCACTCTTATCAACTGATGGCCAGTCTTAATGCCTTGACACCCATTTCCCCTTTATTATATTGAAGCAAATTCCAGATGTCATATAATTTCATCCATAAATACTTACCTTTAAAAGGTAAGGATTAATTTAAAAATAATCACAATACCATTTTCAGTCCTAAAAATAATTAATAATTTTTCCTCAGATCATAAATTATTCAATAAGTATTTAAATTGTCAGCTGTCTCATAAGTATTTCATGTATATGTTTACTGTCTTTTTGGATCAGGATTCACTTAAGGTTCATATATAATTGGTGATATGTCCCTTAAGTCTTCTTTTTTCCATCTATGGGTATCCTTTTTCTCTTGGAATTTAAATTTTGTAGAAACTGGTTATTTGACCCGTGGAGTTTTCCCATGATCTTGGTTTTGATGTCACATCCCTGTAATATCCTGGACCATGTTCCTTTGTTCTTGCCCTTTACTGTGAATGTCACTGGATCTCGAGCCTTGACGGGATAGATTCAGGTTCCTTTTTGTTTCCCCTCAAGACTCCTCCTTGGGTAATAGTCATCCATCATCAGGCACATCATTTCTGGTTGTCTCTTTCCTGATGTTAGCAGCCTTTGATGATCAGCACCTAGATACAGTCATTCTGGTGCTACCATTCTTCTTTCATTCATTATCAGCAGTTTGTTTTTAGATTTGATTGAATCTGTAAATTAACTCATCCTATAGTCCAAGGAGTAAATGCCATCATATTTTTTCTTCTAACACTTACAGAAAAAAAAAAAACCTTAAAACTTAGAGTAAACATAAGATCATGTGTTTATAATAAAACAGGTAAAAGCAAATTGGCAAAAATTGTAGTAGGGAGGGTAAGGATTAAAGATGGCGGCATGAGAGGTGAGACAGAGACCTCCTCCTAAAACCACATACAATACGAAAATATAATTAATACAATTAATCCTGAAAGAGCAACAGGGAAGAAGGCTGTGCCAGACTGCATACACCTGGACAAAAGAACAGACCTCATGGAACAGGGTAACATACCAAAGCCATGATCCAGTGGGACCCAAGCCCTTCTCCCACCCCAGCTCACTGTCAGGAGGAAGAGAAACAGAGAGGGTAAGGAGTGGACTGCTGAACACCTAGCCCTGGAGATCTGCTTTGGGAGCATGAACCTACATTGCATGGTGCTCTGGTGATTAGTGGGGTTGGAAAGCCAAGACAGGCAGAATACCTGGGGAGATTGAGATTCTAGCTGCTTGTAGAAAACAGGGATCCATATTTGGCTGCTCTGGGAGGGCAGTTCGAGAGACTTCCTAACAGCGAGAGGGCTGCTAAAGGGGCAAGGACTGAAAAAAGTGTCCGGGTGCACTTTGCCCAGCAGGTTGGGAACTTTCGGGATCTTCAGGCACTCCATCCCCCGGGCTAGCTACGCAGCTCCAAGTCTCCCCACCGTGATATGCAGCCTGCTGTGCCTTCCTCCCAGCCAGCCTCCACCTGGCTTGCAAACCGGCAACCCCTGCCCTGGTGTCAGGACAGCCAGAGGGAGGCCCCACCTACAGCAGCTACAAACGCAAAGCATAGAGGCTTGCACACCTATGTGTTCAGCCCGCTGGTTCTAGCAGTGGAGACAGGCATAATATCTGGGAAGCAGGAAACAGCTCTTTCCTCCCCCCAGGCACCAGCACCACTCCCCTGCGACCCCTGACATGGCTCCAGGGGCTGAGCAGCTCCAGAGAGCAGAGCTTCTGGGCACTAGAGGGCGCCACATACAAATATGAAGTGTCAAAGAAACCTGGTTCAAACAAAAATTTTCTCAAACACCAGAAAAAGGCTTGAGTGAGACTGACTAATCAATTTTCCAGTAAGAGATTTCAAAATAAAAATCATAAACATGCTCCTGGAGGTACAGAAAAATATTTAAGACCTCAGGAATGAATTTAGGGCGGAGATCCAATCATTAAGGAACACAATGGAGGGTTTTAAAAGCAGATTAGATGTGGTGGAGGAGACAGTAAATGAAATAGAAATTAGAGAAGAGGAATGCAAAGAAGCTGAAGCACAGAGAGAAAAAAGGATCTCTAGGAATGAAAGAATATTGAGAGAACTGTGTGACCAATCCAAACAGGACAATATTCGTATTAAGGGTTACCAGAAGAAGAAGAGAGAGAAGAAGGGATAGAAAGTATCTTTGAGGAGGTAATTGCTGAAAAATTCACCAATCTGGGGAAGGGAATAGTGTCTTAGGCCATGGAGGTGCACAGATCTCCCAACACAAGGGACCCAAGGAAGACAACACCAAGACACTTAGTAATTAAAATGGTAAAGATCAAGGATAACGACAAAATATTAAAAGCAGGCAGAGAGAGAAAAAAGATCATGTGCAAAGGAAAACGCATCAGGCTATCATCAGACTTCTCAGCAGAAACCTTACAGACCATAAGGGACTGGCAGGATGTATTTAATGCAATGAAACAGAAGGGCCTTGAACCAAGAATACTCTATCTGGCAAGATTGTCATTTAAATTTGAAGGAGGGATTAAACAATTTCCAGATAAGTAAAAGCTGAGAGAATTTACCTCCCAAACCACCTCTACAGTGTATTTTGGAGGGACTGCTATAGATGGAAGTGTTCCTAAGGCTAAATAGCCATCACCAGAGGTAATAAAACCACAGTAAAGAAAGTAGAACAGTTAATTACTAAACAAATGGAAAATTAAATCAACTACCCCCAAAGTCAGTCAAAGGATAGACAAATAGTACAGATTATGATACCTAATATATAAAGAATGGAGGAGAAAGAAAAAGGAGAGAAAAAATAAAGAACTTTTAGATTGTGTTTGTAATAGCATACTAAGTGAGTTAAGTTAGACTCTTAGATAGTAAGGAAGTTACCCTTGAACCTTTGGTAACCACGAATCTAAAGCCTGCAGTGACAATAAATACATACGTGTCGATAATCACCCTTAATATAGATGGTCTGAATGCACCAATCAAAAGACATAGAGTCAGTGAATGGATTAAAAAAACAAGACCCATCTATATGCTACCTACAAGAGACTCACTTCAAACCCAAAGACATAAACAGACTAAAAGTAAAGGGATGAAACAAGATATTTCATGCAACCAATAGGGAGAAAAAAGCAGGTGTTGCAGTACTTGTATCAGACAAAATAGACTTTAAAACAAAGAAAGTCACAAGAGACAAAGACAGACATTACTTAATGATAAAGGGGTCAATCCAAAAAGAGAATATAACCATTATAAACATCTGTGCACCCAACACAGGAGCACCTACATATGTGAAACTAATACTAACAGAATTAAAAGGGGAAATGGAATGCAATGCATTCATTCTAGGAGACTTCAGCACTCCACTCACTCCAAAGAACAGTCCAACCACACAGAAAATAAATAAGGAGACAGAGGCATTGAACAGCACATTAGAACAGATGGACCTAACAAACATCTACAGAACTCTACACCCAAAGCAGCAGGACACACATTCTTCTCAAGTGCACATGGAACATTTTCAAGAATAGACCACATACTAGACCACAAAAAGAGTCTCAGTAAATTCAAAAAGACTGAAACTGTACCAACCAGTTTCTCAGACCACAGAGGTGTGAAACTAGAAATAAATTATGTAAAGAAAACAAAAAAGACCATAAACACATGGAAGCTTAACAACATGTTCCTCAATAACCAATGGATCAATGACCAAATAAAAAGAGATCAAACAATATAGGTACACAAATGACAAGAATAACACCACAAAATCTGTGAGACGCAGCAAAGGCTGTGCTAAGAGGGAAGTATACTGAAAAACAGGCCTACCTCAGAAAAGAAGAACAATCCCATATGCACAGTCTAAACTCACAATTAATGAAACAAGAAAAAGAAGAACAAATGAGGCCCAAAGTCAGTAGAAGGAGGGACATAATAAAGATTAGAGCATAAATAAATAAAATTGAAAAGAATAAAACAATAGAAAGAATCAATGAAAGCAGGAGCTGGTTCTTTGAGAAAACAAGCCAACTAGATAAACCCCTAGCCAGACTTATCAAGAGAAAAAGAGAGTCTGCATGCATAAACAGAATCAGAAATGAGAAAGGAAAAATCACTATGGACACCACAGAAATACAAAGAGTTATTAGAGAATACTATGAAAAATTATATGTTAACAAACTGGATAACCTAGAAGAAATGAACAACTTTCTAGCAAAATACACAACCTTCCAAGACTGCCCCAGAAAGAAACAGAATATCTGAACAGACCAATTACCAGCAAGGAAATTGAATCAGTAATAAACTACCTAAGAACAAAACTCCTGGACTAGATGGCTTCACCGCTGAATTTTATCAAACATTTAGTGAAGATCTAATACCCATTCTCCTTGAAGTTTTCCAAAAAGTAGAAGATGAGGGGATACTTCCAAACTCATTCTATGAGGCCAGCATCACCCTAATACCAATACTAGGCAAAGACAATAAAAAAAGAAAATTACAGACCAATATCCCTGATGAAAATAGATGCAAAAATTCTCAACAAAATACTAGCAAACTGAATTCAAAGATACATCAAAAAGATCATCCATCATGATCAAGTGGGATTTATTCCAGGGATGCAAGGATGGTGCAATATTAGAAAATCCATCAGCATCTATCCCCACATCAACAAAAAGAAGGACAAAAACCACATGATCATCTCCACAGATGCCGAAAAAGCATTTGATAAAATTCAACATCCATTCATAATAAAAACTCTCAACAAAATGGGTGTAGAGGGCAAGTACCTCAACATAGTAAAAGCCGTATGTGACAAACCCACAGTCAACATCATATTTAACAGCGAGAAGCTGAAAGCCT